GTACTCTGAGTAACTACTTTAAAGATAACAATACGCAAGGTATTAACTATTGTTATTCTCCTATTGTTTTGTTTTGAAATTTTGTTTTACTTTTTTTCCATAAAAATGAAAACTTTAAAGAAACAATGGTGGGAAATTCTCCAAAATTAATGGCAGGCAACAAATCACAGGTCCAGCAAGCCAGATAAAAGTGGAAACAAATTACACCTGGGCAGATGGTAGCCAAATAAAGAAAAGCAATAACAGAAAAATCTTGAAATAATCCCGAGGGAGAAACCAAATTTAAGTTTAGAAGAATAAGGCTAAGAACTACAACAGATTTCTTGTTGGAAACTATTCAAACAATAAGAGAGTGGAATGAAATAATTTAGCTGTGATTCTACTTTTATTCATTTGTTTTTAGTTGTATCATTATTTGATTTTTGTGGTACTGGAATGGAATGGAATATTTTAGATGTTCAAAGAAAAAACCCAACAATCTAAAATTCTAGATACGGTAGATTATCCTTCAGAAGAAATAAAGACGTTCTCAAACATAAATACCCTGAGTGGGGATGGGAATGTAGCTCAGGGGTAGAGTGCTTGTTTAGCACATTCAAAGCCCTTGGTTAGATCCCCAACAGTACACGCACAAAAACCCCTGCAAAATACATTGTGGAAACTCAGTGCCAGCATATCTGCCATGGAAGAAATGTTAAAAGAAGCTCCTCAGAAAGAAGGAAAATACTATTGGTAAGAAACTTGGATCTACATGAAGAAAGGAAGGCTGTCATAGAAGAAATAAAGTCCAAATATTTTATTATTTTCTGCATTACTTAGGCCAAATTAATTTTATAACAGTTGTTTCACCCACAAAAGCCTGCAGAGCCCCGCCCCCCAGCTCTGGAATTGAACTCAGGGCCTTGGCACTGATCTATGCTCCCAGTCCTCCAACCTCCTTTTTAAAGCAGAGGTTCGCTAAGTTCCTAAGTTGCCCAGGCTGAGCTGAGCTTGCAAAACTCCTGGCTCAGCCTCCCAGAGTGCTCAGATTACAGGTGTGCATCACCAGGTTCAGCCTGCACAGGCTCTTGGAGGGGATAAATATTTGAAGAAAATGATTTTGTTGCTTGCGTTTTGCCTCCTTCTACTTTGTACAGCAAATATAAAAGAAATAAACTAGTTGACTTCTCCATTTATGTGAAAAGCAGAAATCATTGGATAATCAGCCACAAAAGCCAATGAGCAAATAATGAATAAGATAATTTCAGAGGGCCAGGGATATAGCTCAGCGGCACAGCGCCTGCCTGGCAAGCGTAAGGTCCTGAGTTCAATTCCTGGTACCAGAAAAAAAGATAACTTCTGAGCAAAGGAAAGTCTAGAAAGAAAAAGGAAATATGGTGAAGATCTTGACAGTGGTGGGGTGGACCAGGGAAGAAATGTGTTTGAGTAAGAGACATTTAAGCAGATACATGAGAGACCAGAGGGAGAGTGCCACGGCACCAGCGCGTCTTTGGCAGGGGCCAGGATGTCAAGGCCACGGAACACCTGCTTCTAGTTCATTCCACCACTAGGTGGCATCTCTGAGTTAGGGTCAAAGAATTGCTTGGCCCTTTCAAGGAACAGCACTTTGCTCTATATACGCTCTCTCTTTCTTTTTCATTTAGATACTGATCTGCTCAATTTTCCACAATTAATTGAAACATTTAGTTAGTTTTAATAACTAGGACTTGTGCACCTACAACCATCCCCAAATGGTATGACCTTGACAATAACCTTCCTTGTATCTGTGCAGTCTCCCAATTCATTGTCCTGCCTGCTCTCTTTTTTTTTTTTTTTTTTT